GGGCGGTGGCGAGGCTCCCGCGGGGGAGCCGCCGGGGTGGGGCTTGGGGAGGGCGTGCGGGCCAGAGCCACATCGTGGGGCTCTCGAGCCGAGTGGGCGCTGCGGCCAACCGGGACTGCCGGTAGGGGCTCCTCCGGCTTCCGAGGAGACAGCTGCTTCTAGAAGTTTCTCTGGGTGGGCCCGTGAGGTGCTTGGTCGAGGCCTGCATTTACTCTTGGCCCCGACCGCCGCCCTGTAGGAGGCGCTCTTCTGGTCCTGCTGAGGTACTCCGAGGCCCCCGCCCCCTGGGGGCAGACGCGGCGGGCGGAAGGCCTTTTAGCCCTGCTCTAGTGCCACAGGGAGCTGCTGGCGTCCCCTCGGCCTCGTTGGCGGGCCGGAGAGGGGGGGCTTCTGGTTCCCCGGGAGGTGGGGGCGCCGCGGCTTTGGGAGCAAGTGCGGTACTGAAGCGCTGCTGCCCCGCGGCCGCCTCGGAACTGCGAGCCTCTGCCGCAGAGCTCGGCCTGGCTGGGACGGGAAGGGCCTGATGGATGTCGAGAATTGCCTCCCTTTATATAACCTTTATTAAAAACGCTTTCCCAGTTAAACAGGCATAAGGAGTCTCTTGGACTCCGCAGGGAAAGGAATTGTCCAGAAAGGTGGCTCTGGACGTGTTAAGGCGCGTACTGGAAGGCAGCAGCCAACTCCTTCCTGTCGGTCAGGCCTTTGAGCACTGTTGATTAAGGATCCCTGCTGAGTCGAGCCCCGTTTCAGCCAGTGTTTTAAAGACCCTGGAGTAGACTGCTGGGGTACAGGGTAGAGTGGCTTCCCAGCTCTTATAACTCCTCCTGTTCCTTCTGTTCCCTGTCAGGAAACAAGCTCACATCTCCCTTTTGGAATCCTTCTAGCAGTAGGATGAGTCTGCAGTGGACTGCAGTTGCTACTTTCCTCTATGCAGAGGTCTTTGCTGTGCTGCTTCTTTGCATTCCCTTCATTTCTCCCAAAAGGTATGGCCTGTGGAGCAAGCAGGCAAGCAAGTTGAGAGGGTGACGGTTGCCGAGCACTATAGCTTGTGTGTGCAAAGTTGGTGGACCCTGGAACTGGGGCCAGATGGAAACAGGTAGAACTTGTCTGGGGTGGGGGTGGCAGGGGTCATGTTTATTATTGCCAACCTTCCACACAGTTTGGCTTTGTCGCATCTTGCTGAGTTCTTTTCCTGAGCACCCTGCCTTCTGGTCTTCAGAATACCCGAAAGGGGAGAAAAGCTGTCTCTAGTCATGGTTCTGGAAATGATGCCCTCTTGCCTCCCCTTGGGTCCCTAGGGTTTGGGGGATGGCAGTGTGGGGTCCAGAAGACTTTCACCACAGAGTCACGTTGTTGCTAGTTTGGTGATTTCTGTCCTCCTAACTAGTCTCACTGGCTTTGCGTAGTAGCCTCATGAGCATTACTCAGCCTGTGAGGGATGAAACCGTGCTCCCTTGCAATGAAAAGAGGACCCATTGAAAGTTAATTGGACAATTTTAATTACAGTTAATATATGAACACATTTTGACTTAAGTTAGAACATTACAAATAAGGTTTTCTCCATGGATATTTTTAAAAACTGTTTTTTAATAAAAAGTACAGTTCCTGATGTGATACAATAGGAAGTATACAGTACTGCCTGAGGAATATTATTGCCAAAAGCCAGATCTGAATCTCTTCACACCTCATACAGTTCAGAGGAAATGCAGATACAGACGCACCCTCTGAGCTGCTATTTTGGAAGCTTTGTAGGACAAACAACCTGGTTTCTGGAAAAAGTGAATTGGGGAAGAAAACAACAGAGGACGAGGGAGGGAGGAGCTTATAGAATCAGACAGATTTAAGACACTTATCACCTAAATGCAGAATCAAAACCATGTTGGTTCCTATTCAAACTATTAAAAATAGTTGCAAATTGGGCCGGCCCTGTGGCTTAGCGGTTAAGTGTGCGTGCTCCGCTGCTGGCGGCCTGGGTTCGGCTCCCGGGCGTGCACCGATGCACGGCTTCAGCGGCCATGCTGAGGTGGCGTCCCACATACAGCAACTAGAAGGATGTGCAACTATGACATACAGCTATCTACTGGGGCTTTGGGGAGAAAAGGGGGGGGAAAGGAGGAGGATTGGCAATAGATGTTAGCTCAGGGCTGGTCTTCCTCACACAAAAAAAAAACAGTTGCAACAATTGGGCTGTGGAATTCTGGCTCTGAGAATTAGGGATTCTCGTTGATATTCTTGAGGTCTGGTGATGGCATTGGGATGACATTAACCATTTCCGAAGGGTCTTGTCTGGTAGAGCTACATTGTGAAGTATTTATGGAGGGAAATGAAGGGAGGTCTGGGGCCTGCTTCATCATAATCCAGAGTGGAGAAGTCTATATGAACCAAAATTGGTCACGTGGAAATTGGTCACGTGGAAAAGCAATTTAAAGAAATAATGTGGGGCTGGCCCCGTGGCTTAGCGGTTAAGTGCGTGCGCTCCGCGGCTGGCGGCCCGGGTTCGGATCCTGGGCGCGCACCAACGCACCGCTTCTCCGGCCATGCTGAGGCCGCGTCCCACATACAGCAACTAGAAGGATGTGCACCTATGACATACAACGATCTACTGGGGCTTTGGGGGAAAAATAAATAAATAAAATTATAAAAAAAAAAAGAATGTGTATGTGGCAAGCATTTTGAATAATACATAGGGGGATGCAATGGAAAGTAAATTTCCGATTTCCCTCCCCAAAGACTGCTGGTGTTTAAGACTGGTTTTCTACCCTATGAATGTCAGGAATGTAGGAAATTATTTCTCAAAGAAACTTTCAAGGACGTGAGAATACACGCAGGAGGAAAAAACATATAAATTGAAGAATATGGGAAAGCCTTCTGTCATCCCAAGTCCTGATAAAGACAAAGTCCTTTCACAAGGACTCACTTGAGAAAAACCTCTTGAATGTGAACAACATAAAGTGAACGCTTCAATTGGTCCATATGCTTAAATGTGAAAACTCCCACTGAAAATAAATTTAAGAAACGTGGAAGATTGATGGAAGTTAATCCATGTATAATGTTCTAGAAAAAAATTTTTGTTTTTGGTGAGGTAGATTGGCCGTGAGCTAACATCTGTTGCCAGTCTTCCTCTTTTTGCTGAGGAAGATTGGCCCTGAGCTAACATCTGTGCCCATCTTCCTCTGTTTTGTGTGTGGGACACCACCACAGCGTGTCTTGATGAGTGGTGCGTAGGTCCGCACCTGGGATCCGAATCTGCAGACACCTAGCTGCTGAAGCGGAGCGCGTGAGCTTAACCACTACACCACTGGGCCAGCCCCTAGAAAATTTTCAACATGAAAGAGTTGTGATAAAAGTTGTAAATATATTGTGTTTAGCATCCGCTTTCTTAAAATGCAACATTGGACTGTGGATTTCTACTAATTACTTTTAGAAATGAAGTGAGAATTCTGTGAGTCATTTTTCAAAAATAGTACATAAGATTAGTAGGTAGTGCCTTTTCCTTAAATCTAATATTTTCTCTTTCCATTTTGCAGCCTGTTGGATCGCTGGGTGAAGTGTATTTCTAATATGCAATTAGGTTTAGTTTTTTTTTTTTTTTAAAGGAACCACTTTTTTCTGTTGTTGTTGTTGGGAAAGATTTGCCCCGAGCTAACATCTGTTGCCAATCTTCCTCTCTTTTTTTTTCCTTCCCAAAGTCCCAGTACATAGTTGTATATTCTAGTCGTAAGTCCTTCTAGTTCTGTGTGAGCCACCGCTTCAGCATGGCTACTGACAGACAAGTGGTGTGGTTCCATGCCTGGGAACCAAACCCGGGCTGCTGCAGCAGAGCGCGATGAACTTTAACCATTAGGCCATTAGGGCTGGCTTGGTTTGATTTTTTAATAATGTTTTATTCTGTGTTAAGGGGCCTTTAAAAATTGATACGTCGGTTTTTGTTGGGATTTTCCTACTGGCCTTGGGTAGCAGTTCCTAGATATCCCTAATCCATTATATGTATTGTAACTTTTTTACTGAGAAAGCTCCTTTTTTGATGTGTGGGTATAGGAGCCTTTTTCTGTTTTCCATAGTATTAAACATTGAGAATAAACTTGTACATGTGGCAACTTAAAAAAAAAAGACTGGTTTTCTAGAAATTTCTATACATGAGCAAGCCTCTTTTTTTTTAATACTCTTGAACGAATGTCATAAATTAGAGAATTGCAAGCAGCTGAGGCTGAGTCTGTATGGGATATTCGCCATAGGAAAAGAGTGCAAAACTGGATTTCTGTTCTCAAGGCCCCGGATCCCAAGTGTGTATTCTTTCTCTTCAGCTCCTATCGTTTTTGTCGTCTTCACAGATGGCAGAAGATTTTCAAGTCCCGCCTGGTGGAGTTGGTAGTGACCTACGGCAACACCTTCTTTGTGGTTCTCATTGTCATCCTCGTGCTGCTGGTCATTGGTGAGTGAGCTGTGACTGAGGATAGCTACCTGCCCTTGACTCTTTGCTGTGGCCTTTGCCACAAATCCCTGTGCCATGTTCCACGTGAAGCATACAGCTTTGGCTTCTTAGAGACAGGGCACTTAAGTGGCCCCGGTCTTTCTCTTGAGGAAGAGGCTTCCTTCATCCATGAAGAGGGTGCTGCTGACTGCTGGCAGGGCCTTCACTTTTACCAGCAGCCTTTTTTGCACCCTGTGGTGACCACCTCACATCTCTGGGGTGGCTCCTCTGGTCATTCCAGAACTGAAACCAAGAGAAGCTAACTGGCCCATCTTAACTTTGGTCTAAGTAGTGCTGTTCTCCAGTCACTTAGACAGCAGCATCAGTCTTCCTTGATGTCTGAAACAGGCCACGAATAGGGGCTGAGTGACCAAGTAGACAGGGAGCCTAGCTGGGAAGCAAGCTGCTGTGTCTTGTAGTATGGGGGAACTGAGAGGTCTGGCAGCATATTCTAGGGGGCAAATCCCAGACTTCTGTGGATCTGGGTCAGACTTCAGGTCTTTCGGGTCCTTCCAGCTCTGAGGTTCTATAAACTGCACATTGAGGTGCACACCAGCAGGAGCTTGAAAGATAAATTGGTTCCAGTGTATGCTCAGGGATGGGGCCTGGGGCCAGGTGGTGCTAAGATGGAAGGCAAAGATTTTGTGACATGGCGGTGGCATGATTGTTTGGAGACCGGAGAAATCAGTACAGCTCTTGTCTGGCTGTTAAATGTGCATTTTGCTGTGGTAAGTGATCTATAGGTCCCCCTGCTTGGACTCCAGAGCGATGGCTTGGCTCTGCCACAGAGAGTGGTCCTGTCTGTAAGGTGTGATGCCTGCTTAGGCTCCTCTCTTCGCAAGTACCCAGCAGAAATGTGGCAGTAGGTGGGAGGCAAGGGGGGCATAGGTCAGGGGACCGTGCATGGCCCCACCCACTAGCTGCAGCATTTAGGCATTTCTCCTTCCTAATGTCTTGGGGCCTGACGGAATATATTGAAGCAGGGCTACCTCTGAACAGGCCAGGTGTGGCCTACCCATTCGCAGCCATGTGGGGTGAGTGCCAGCTGCCTGCAGACCTTGCAGTTCTTGAAATGCTTGGCAAGGCCCCAAGAGGCAGTCCTTTCCCATCAGGGTTCTCTCCTTGAGTGGCCTCTGGGCCTGGAGGGGCAGGGAATATGTGTGTCATCCCCCAAGCATGAAAAGCCAGGCTGCAGGATTTTGGAACTGAACATGTGTGCTTTCACTTTTGGGTGTGGGGTGGGGGTGAGAATTGGGGTGGAGTGGGACTGTGCTTGGGGTATTCCTTCAGGGCCTTGCCTCTCTACAAACCAGACTCCAAGAGCTCTCCGTTTTCTGGCACAGCTGAGCGGGCCAAGGAGGCCCTTTGCAGAACCCAGTAGTTGGCAATGGTGCCATTCTTTTTTGGAGTCAGGGAATTGCTCCAAAGTTCTAGAGAGATATCTGGCCATGATGACAGGCTGTTTCCTACCCTAATGGTAAGAAGTGTAATCTAGAGAGGTCTGCAGAGACTTCTACAGGTATAAGTGTTAGCTAGTAGCAGATACTAGTGTGAGGTGATGGACATAACCAGCTAGAGCTGCAGCCCTGGCTGGCCTCTGGCCTTCACTGGGAGGGGCCTAGGGCAGATCTGACTGGGAGATTGGGCTTGATGAGGGTCCAGGGTCAACTGCCCTGGGCCAGAGGCCTGAGATAGGGAGGGCAGCACTCTGCTGCGTGACTTGGGCTGGTGTGGCCCAACACCCCCACCCCCAGTCTGCTCTCTGCCAAGGTGGTCCTTAAGGTTGTGGGGTTCCTGGATACAAATGACAGTGTAGAAAAATGTGTTTTTTTAATTACAAAAATAACACATAGTTATTTTTAAAAATTGAGAGATTTAACCTAAAATGTTAAGTAATCTCGTAATCCCATGTCCCACAGATAGCCATCATTAATACTTTCTTGTACGTTTCCAGAGGCTTTTTCTATGCTGACATCTTTACTAGAATACTACAAACTGTTATGGATTGGATTCAGATCACAGTACACACTGTTTTAGATGGTGCTTTTTCTCTACTTACTATGTTTTAGACATGTTTTTACAGCAATTTCATTCTTTTTAAGATTGTATAGTATCTTGTCATATGGTTATACTGTAATTCCTTCTCTATAGGCATCCTCATATCATTGCACATTTATGCAAATGCTTGTGTAGGATAAATTTGGAGAGGTGGAATTGATGAATCCAAGGGTATGAACATTTTAAACTTTATGTCTTAGTTTGGGCTGCTATAACAAAAATACCATAGACTGGGTGGCTTAAACAACAGACATGTATTTCTCACAGTTCTGGAGGCTGGAAGTCCAAGATCAAGGTGCCGGAAGATTCGGTGTCTGGTGAGGGCCCTCTTCCTGGTTCAGAGAAGGCTGCCTTCTCACTGTGTCCTCATGTGATACAAGGGGTGAGGGAGCTCTCTAGGGCCTCTTTTATAAGGGCACTAATCCCATTCATGAGGGCCTTGCACTCATGACCTAATCATCTCCTGAAGGCCACACCTCCTAACACCATTCCATTGGGGGTTAGGATGTCAACACAGGAATTTGAGGGGGACAGGAACGTGCAGCCCATAACAAATAGGTGTGTCATTGTTTTGGTTTATATCCCTGCTAATAGTGTTGGAGAGTGCTCGCTTCATGATACAGATTTAACATAAAGACACCACTAGGGGGAGGCAGATTTTTATAATGTAAGATCAGCTTAAAAGCCAAGCAGTGTCAAACCAGAAATTAAGAACCAGACAATATGGGGCTGGCCCCGTGGCGCAGCAGTTAAGTTTGCGCATTCTGCTTTGGTGGCCCGGGGTTTGCTGGTTCAGATGCTGGGTGTGGACCGACTCACCACTCATGAAGCGCCATGCTGACGTGGCATCCCACATAGAAGAGCTACAACTCTACAACTATGATATACAACTATGTACTGGGCTTTGGGGAGAAAGAAAAAATAATGATTAAAAATTTTTTTTTTAAAAAGTATAAAAAGAACCAGACAATACCCGTACAGTGATACCTTGTGCCTCTCCCATGGGGGTCTGTTAAGAGCCCTCTTTAGGTAGATCTTTATATACTGACTTAAGAAGATGTCTCTGGGAGTGAGGGGGAAAAAGCAGTGGGTATGGGATGGTTCCATTTCTACTTTACAGGCAAGCCTATCGATGTATGTGTATCTGTAAACCAGAGCACCATACATCTGACAGTGGCTCTCAGGAGCAGAGACTGTTCACCATTCAGCAGTTCTTTGCATGCCCCCTGTGTGCCCAGAACTGTGCTAGGCCTTGGGGAGATAGTAGGCAAGATTTCTGTTCTCGTGGAGTTTGTCATCTAATTTGGGGGAGATGGACAATAAACGTGTACCTCTGGTCATTTCAGATATGGGTGTGGATTACAAAGAGGATAACATAGGGTAATGTGATCAGAAGTGACTCCTTTAGATAAGTTGGCCACATATCAGATGCCCTGTTGGGGATGATTATGTTATGGGAGTCTTTCTCTTTCCACATTTCTCGTATGTTTGAACTTTTGATGAGTGCAGATTCCTTTTGTAATTGGAATAAAACAGTTGAAATAACAAAGCTCGTTATAGCTTTGAAACACAAACCCTTGACTCTTGAGCAGGCATCCTCTGGGTCTTGATTCTTAGGCAGCTCAGGCCTCCTCAGTGGGCATTTCCGTAAACAGGACTGCCCTGGCTTGTCAGCGGGGTGGCTGACGGCCTGCCTGGCTTGAGATAGACAGACCCAGACACTGGGGACACCGTGAGAAAGGGGAGCTGCCCCCATTGCCAGCAACGCCTCAGACTTGGTTAGCATCTTGACGTGGAGAGCAAGCTTGTGGCCTGCTCTTGTGGTAGAATGGAGCCAGGGAGTGACGTGAGAAAAGCTGCAGGAGAGAGTGGGTTTGAGGGTACAGCTTCTATGAGGCATTCCCCAAAGTGTGTGTAGAAGGGGGGATAGCGGGAGACAGAGTCAAGGGAAGTGAGGCCACCCTGACTCGTGCCACCTGTGTCACCTGGACAGCTCGGTCTTGTCCGAGCAAGAGCTAAACACCCCTGTGTCTCGTCTCATCTCTGCTCCAGATGCTGTGCGCGAGATTTGGAAGTATGACGACGTGACGGAGAAGGTGAACCTCCAGAACAATCCGGGGGCCATGGAACACTTCCACATGAAGCTTTTCCGTGCCCAGAGGAATCTCTACATTGCTGGCTTTTCCTTGCTGCTGTCCTTGTGAGTGGGGAGCGGTGAGGGGCTGTGAAGGGACCCCTGGGCTAGCCTGTGACTTTGACTCCTCAGTCTGTGAACTTGAACCAGAGGCCCTGACTGTTAGGGGAGCCACACAATTTCCCCAGAGGCCTCTGATTTTCCTCCTGACTCCAGTGGCAGTGTGGAGAGTGGGAGAGGACTGACTGGAAGGTCGGAAGACCTGAGTTCTGGCTCTGCCATAACTTGCCACTTGCTCTTTTAGGGCAAATGCATTACCAGCTTGCTCTGTGTATGTAGAGTGAAGTAAATGACGAGGTGTTTCCCTCCTCTGGGAGAGGCCCTTTGGAGCCCAGCTTAAAAGGGACCACCTCAATAGGGGCTTTTTGTGTATGGGGTCCTGACCTGGAAAGAGTGGGCAGAGATGGCATGAAGGGGCTGAGACTGACCCTGTCCCCAGGGCCTTCCCAGATGTAGACGTGTCACAGGAGCATATTGTGCTCCATAGCAGCCTAAGTATTTCCGGTGTTTTTTTTTTTCTTTTTTGCAAGACTTGAGTGCCTCCATCAGGGCCAAGGGGGTGGCTAGTTGGGCAAGACTATACTGATATTAAAGCACCTGTTTGAGCCTCGGGACCTGTTTGCTGCCTCCTGCTTCCAGGGGTTCTGATCAGGGGCCTGGCTCTTCTCAGGTGTGGTGACTGGCAGGGAGTAGATATTGTGCTCAGGCCCAGGGCTGCTGGAGGTATTGAGAAGAGGCTTGCCGTGAGGTTATTCCGAAGCAGGGTGAGCATATGGATTCTGGGGCTGGGCTCTCCCATCTCTAGTCACCTGGACATCCTTCACTAGGCGTTAGAATGACTACTTGTCTGGGTTTCAGTTTTTCAGAAAGAGTCGCTCAGGTGAGCCTGGCCTCTCTGGGTCAAAGTTGGAAAGTGGTGGGTGTGGAGCTGCACAGGGGAAACAGCTTTCAAGGTGAGCCGTTTGATCTCAGAAGTGGTCTGCAAGCGTGCTGGCTTTAAACATCTGAGCGTCAGGAAGTGAGAAGGCTGGGAGGAGTAGGACACATACCCTAGAGTTTTAGAGTTTCGAGAAGCTGCGAAAAAGAAGTTTGATGTGGTGGTCTGAGACTGAAAGGGAAGCAGATCCAGAGGACTGAGTCTCAGAAACAAAATTCTGAGTTCAACTGCAAGTGAGCCAAAGAGGGGAAAAAGAGAACCAGCTGTGTCTAAAGAGACCACAGAGGCTCTTGAGGGGACTCCCAGGCAAGCTGCGATTCCATCTGGAAGATAGGAAGGACAGAAAGAGAACTAAGGACCGACCACACCAGAAGAGCGCACAGAGCTTTGAGAATAGTACCGGGAAGGTGAGAGCCTGTGGAGACCTCAGGCTTGTGAAACGCGGTAAGACCTGAGGAGAAGAGGGTCCTCTTGATGTTTCTGTGTAAAGGAAGGAAATGGCAGGCAGAGGTCAAGGGTAAAGAAAGCATTGGGATGAGAGAATTGAAATCCCAGGTGGGTGAGAGTATACTGGAATGCCAGCTTCTCTATAAAACTTAGCTTCTGCTTCCCTTGATGAAATTGTGTCCAGAGGCTCTTGATCACTTGCAGATGGAATTGCCGGTCCTTGAGGAATTGCAGGGTAGGAGAGGTTCTGGAAGACTGCAGACAGGCAAGCATCTCAGTTGCCAAAGGAGGGAGAAAGTAGGTGAGGCAATAACTAGAATGGGAGGGTCTGACTTTGGTCTCAAGCCGTGTTCTAGAGAGAACAGCTTGTATGCTTTCCGAGAAGAGGGAGGGATCATTGGCAGTGACTACTAGAGAACAAGTTTTATTAGTCTTACCGCTGCCTTCTGTCGGTATAGTGTAGATGGATTTTCAGCAAAACATTTGCGAGTCTCCAGTTCGATTCTTAGGGACCGGATACTGAAGTGTGGGCAGGGTGCTGGCATCACAGTGTGGTTGGGCAGGGTCCTAACTCCCCTGAGCGGCTATTGCCTAGATCAGCTCCATCCAAATACTGGCCTCGGTTGCTTGCCCTCCACCCCTAGCTTGCTCAGTGTTTCTCTGCTGAGGACGTTTGGCATGGTGAGCAGATGCGAGGAGAAATGGAAGCCAGGAGGAATTGAGCAGCAGGTAGGGTAGCTACTGCTCAGAATCCACGGCCGTCTAGATGGCTTCACTGGCAGGGCCGACTCAAATGAGACTTGAGTTTTTAATGGGGATACATTTGTAAGTGTCCGTGTAGGTTCGTAAAGGGCAGTGGAGACAGGGCCGAGCAGGAACTCGGAAAGACTTGGGGTTGTGGCTTATTGCAGCTCAGTAGGAGTTAGTGGCAGAACTACTGCAAAAGCTGATAAGCTATTAGCGCCCTTCAGTGGAGGCTGGGGCCACCAGGAGGGAGGCGCCAGCCTCGCCAGTTTGATGTCAGCCAGCGCTACCTGGAGGGTTGCATTTGGGGCCTCACCTCTTGAGAGATGCCGGCAAACTGCAGATTGTGAATTCAGAAGCAGTCACAGTGGTGGCAGATAGAGTGGTGCTTATTGCCTACATACTGTGGCTTTGAAGTCTTACTCTCCTGACTCTTCTGCTTTTGTGATCTCTTCCAGAAAGACACCTCCAGGGCAGGTGGTGTCTGAGTGGGCCAGGCACACCAGACGAGTGAATGTGTGCTTGATTCGGTTCTGTCTCCTCAGCACCGAGAAGCCAGGCGTTCCAGCTTAATTCCTGCAGTTGACTTTTTAAAATTGACATCTAGTACAAGTTGGTGTCTAGTTTTATGAGTGTTTTTACAAATGCAGAGTCAGGTAACACTACCACGATTGGGATTCAGAACAGTTAGCAGTTTCCTTTCTAACCTAAAGGGTTGGCTTCAAAGAAGAGCCGTCCTCATTTATGCCCTACGCTGTTCCCAAAGGGACGCATGGAGGTGGGGAGAATGGAGTGAGATTTGGGCCCAGTGTTCCAGTCGGCTCTTGTGATGCCCCTCTGCTCTCTCTAGTAGTAGCTGCCTCCTCCACTTTGCTGTGAGCTCTCCATTTGACAGGCATGTAAGGCTTCATGGAATTCCCTTTTTAAAAAAAAAATTAATTTATATTTGGTGAGGAAGATTGGCCCTGAGCTAATATCTGTGTCCACCTTCCTCTATTTTGTATGTGGGATGCCACCACAGCATGGTTTGATGAGCGGTATATAGATCTGCACCCGGGATCCAAACCCACAAGCCCCAGGCCCCTGAAGCAGAGCACACGAACTTAACCACTATACCACTGGGCCGACCCCAGAATTCCCTTTTAAATGTGTCACATGTAGTAACTTCTTGGGCCTGGTTGTTCCAACAGCCACACATCTCTTACCTCTCCATTTTAGCTAAAGATTCTTTGTTGTGTCTGCCATACCATCCCATGTCCCCATCTAGTAGCCAATGAAAAAAGGACCTGAGGGGGCCGGCCCGTGGCACAGTGGCTAAGTTCATGTGCTCTGCTTTGGTGGCCCAGGGTTCTCAGGTTGGGATCCCAGGCGCAGACCTACACACTGCTCATCAAGCCGTGCTGTGGCACCCTCCCACATACAAAATAGAGGAATATTGGCACAGATGTTAGCTCAGGGCCACTCTTACTTGCCAAAAAAAAAAAAAAAGGACATGAGGTTGGTCTTGTATAACTTCTTAAAAAAGGAAACAGTGACCCCAAGGATCAGTATAGATTCATCAATTGCCCACAAATGATCTGTTGAATTGTTTCTAGAATTTTCCAGGAATATATATGCCTCCCTAGTCTAGGGGTCAGATCCTATATGGCGGCTGTGGCCCTAGAGGAGCGTCTTTCTTTGCATGGCATTACCCATAGAAATGTTCTTGTCCAAACTTGATGCCCACGCAACCCATATGTGGCTTGCAGGAAACACTGTAAACAAAACTATCGTCTTTGTTATCCTGATTACAGAAGTTCTACCTGCTCCTTAAAATAAACAAAGCCACCCAAAGTTCAAATAATACAGAAATGCCGGGTAAGAGATTGGGCACCCTCTAGTTCCATCCCCAGAGATACCACAGGTAATAATTGGAATGTTTCTGAACTTTTTAAAATAGTCTTTTACTTAATGTATAACTTTTCTCTTTCAAGTGCCATGGGGTTTTTTTTGGCTCTGCTTTGACTTGCCTTTTTCATTCAATGATGTATCTTGGCGGTTTTTCCAAATGACTCATGCAGACCTCTCATTCTTTTTTCTTTCTTTCTTTTTTTTTTTTTGGTGAAGAAGATCAGCCCTGAGCTAATATCCATGCCAATCCTCCTCTTTTTGCTGAGGAAGATTGGCCCTGGGCTAACATCCGTACTCATCTTCCTCCACTTTATATGGGATGCCGCCACAGCATGGCCTGACAAGCAGTGCATTGGTGCGCGCCCGGGATCTGAACCTGGGCCGCCAGCAGTGGAGCGCGCGAGCTTAACCACTATGCCACGGGGCTGGCTCCACCTCTCTCATTCTTTTTTTTTTTTTTTTTAGTGAGGGAGATCAGCCCTGTGCTAACATCTGCAAGTCCTCCCCTTTTTTTGCTGAGGAAGACTGGCCCTGGGCTAACATCCATACCCATCTTCCTCCCCTTTATATGGGACGCCACCACAGCATGGCTTGCCAAGCGGTGCGTCAGTGTGTGCCCGGTATCCAAACCGGCGAACTCCGGGCCGCTGCAGCAGAGTGCGCACATTTAACTGCTTGTGCCACCGGGCCAGCCCCTCTCATTCTTAATGGTTGTGTAGTGTTCTGTCATGTGAGGGGACCATCATGTGTTTAACCAATTTCCTGCTGACAGATGTGAGAGCTGGTTCGAAATTTTTACTGTTCAAAAACCATTTGCCCACTTCAGTGGGTTCTAGTCTGTCCTCCCACACATTATGTTCCTTTTTCGTTTTTCTGTCTGTAATCTTTGGAAATGGATTGGTGGTGTCCTGGTCCCCTGGCACCTCACTCCTCTGAGTGTGGTCCGTGGCCCAGCAGCCTGGGCAGGACCTGGGGGCTTGTTGGAAAT